TGTAATGCAGGGGGATGGCAGAATCAATAGTTTGGCTTCCTGCTACCACACACTCCCATGTGCATAAGCTGAATGTAGATTATAAGTCCCCTTTGAACTCATAGATGGCAGTAACAATGTCCTAAGGGCGAATCTGGTGTTTTCCACTACAGATGGTAGGATGGCATGATGTCCAGTGAGTGGCAGGTGAAGGATGTCAGCCCAAATGAATGCAGACTGTTCTAAAATAGTGCAGTCATTTGCTCAGTTTGGAACCAACACTCTTTGCCCTTTTCTCTCATGGGTCTTGTTCCTTCCTGCCTACCATGCTCCTCTTTCTTGTGTTTGAAATGACCTCTCTCCTCACCCCCACCTCTTATTTCTGTAATCTTTCCTCTATTCTCTTTTCTCTCTTCTTCCTTCACCCTTTCCCTTTGGGTTCCCTTCATTATTTCCTCCTCCGTCACTTGGCATGATTTGGGGAAGAAAGTAGTACATTCAGATGTAGCCGATGCAAATGTTTTATTGTGCTCTTTTCAAAGAAAAACATCAAGATGCTCTACTACTTCCTTATAATTCCTTATAACTACATTTCCCCTCCCTTTGGATGAAGATCTCAGGAGAACACAGTTCCCTCTGCAACATTGGGCCAGAAAAATGTGGACTGAACAGCTGACAGGGCCTAGCCATTGTCCAGTCAGAGTCCTGGGGCGGGGGTGGGGGTGGGGGGGTGGGGGGGCAATGTCAGCAGCAGCATGTGTGTTCAGGAGTGTCTGCTTCCTGGCTATTTGCTGTGTGCTAGAATTTTAACCTTGTCCCTTATTTGTAAGAATGGATATGAAGCAAATAGCCCACATTTGAACAGACATGTTCTCTGGTAATCATTTTAGAAGACGGCTTAGGAACCCTGCAGCCCAGGACTGTGACGTAGTCACAGAGTATGTCCTTGGTACATGGGGCTGGGACCAGGGAGTCAATCTCACACACAGGTGTGTAAGGCTAGAGTAGTGTGAGCCTAAAACTACCTTGCTGCCAGAAAGATGGCAAAAGCCACTTGGCATTTTTTTCTAAGTTAAAGTTCAATCTATGTTTCCAGAAAATGAAAGTCACTTTCAGCTCTAATCTTTGGATGTGGGAAAAGCACCCAATAATTTTTTCTGTCTTAATTTAATGATCAATATTTGAAGCCTCAAACACATTTTTAAAATAGTAAGAAAGTCAGATTTGATATGGGGCTATTTTTTTATTCTTTAATGATGCTGAGGGGTCTTTATAAGCACCACATAAATGATTGGTTTATCCATTCACCTTTGAGTCCACTTGATTAATTTCTTTCCCACAAATTACCTTGATGTATTTGTTTTCTCAAAAATACAATCAGGGTATGCTAGGAAGCCCCTCCTGGGTCCTTGTATTTCTATGATTCAGAGGAAAACAGCCTGTGGTCAGCAGGTGACCCAAGGCCTGTCATGGGACTGGACAATTCCTATCTCACACAATAAGAGGCATCTTCAGATAGTGCAGTCTGACAGGTCTAACCTATGAGGAAGAAGCAGAAGCAAGGTTTCCCAATATTCTAGGCCTCCTTGGGCTTTAATATCAAGTCTGCCAAGGCTAAGAAAATCAACTTCATCTGCTCCTGGGCCAGATTCAGAGCTGAGCTTTCATTGTTTCACTACTCTCTTGCCTTCAGTCTCTGCAAAAAGGACACACATCCATGCTGGTTTTATCACAGGTTTGCTGCAGATGAGAACAGCGTGAGTCCAAAGCAGAAGTCACAGCCTCCTAAGGAGAACTTTCTGATGTTTATCTCTTTGTCTGTCCCTCCTTGGATCTTTATGGGCCTGGGATGGGATGGGGTGAGCTCCACTCCCCTCTCGCCCCACACCAAGGGAGCTTCTGTCTCCCTCTCTGGCTCAAGCTCATATTTGGGACTTCAAAATCACTAAATAAGCTCTTAGATAAACGACACCTCTTTTGTTTTGAAGCCTCCTCCTTTCTTTCTTTCTACCACCACTACTCTCACTTGACAAAAAAATAGAAGTATGACTAACTCATGCTTTCTCATCCTTCAATACTTAGACCGGGCTTGGGATCCCCCATACTGCCTTTCCTGACTTCTTTTTTCCTCCTCTGTGAAGTTATGTACTTCTTTTGACAGGTGCGTATTCTTGGAAGGATTTGATCTGCATTTTATAACATTACCTTACAATAGGTTTT